CTCAAAGGTATTTTGAATCTGAAAAGAGCTTCACTGAGTGAGAAGTAGTGTTAAGAGCAGCAGACAGTTTCACTTTCACTTTCACTCGTTTGCTTTGTTACTGCTGAGAGCCTGCAGGAGTCATGGGCGGGGGGTGGGGCGTTGTGCTCCATGATGAGGAAGCTCTTCTTAAAGACACGTCCCAGGGGCGTTTCTGGTCCCCACCTGTCGTTTTGCTCCTCAGCATGTCTTCCTAAAAACGCTGCAGGATTTCTGAAACATGCATGAATGAGTCAAAGCAAGGCTTTGGGCATGTTTTTTTATGAGAGCATAACATTATAACATGATATAAAACTCAAAAAAGTTGATTTTACATGATATTGCCCCTTTAAGTTGTTAACTGGGAACATTTCAGATTTTCTGTGGGAAAATAAGTAACTTTTTCAGCTCAGAGGGTTATTTAACAAAAATTCTGCCTCCTTATCTTTATCTTGCACCAACTTTAACCTCAAATCCTTCCTCTCACCAATGACTGTGCCTCGTTCAAAAGTCCAACTTTTCCACATTTGCTGTGCTTTCAACCCCAAACTCTCATTTATTTATTTTTTTTATTTTACCATTGTTTAAACAGGCAAATCCCACTGAGATCACAAATCTCTTTTTCAAGGTAGGCCTGGGCCTGAAGGCAACCTATCAAACTCTCATCAAAAGTTGTGTAGTTTTACATCCAAGACACTCTGATTTGAGACATTTTGACCTTTTGATTGAGACTTTTTTTAATCCTGGTCCGGGAATGAAATTCTGATTTTCTAAGTGCACTACTAGAATAGGACAAATTAAAGTAAATTATTAATGGCAGTTTAAAATTATCCCATTTAGGCAACAATTTTTAAGATTAGCCTCTCAAACCTCACAGAAAACTCAGTGTAAAGGACTGCGAGTGAAGTCTCTGGTTTATGGATCCAATATGTGAGGGAGGAATTACAAAATGGGCACAAATGGTAATACAACCCTCTGTCTGGTTAATATGGTGCTCTGGAGTTTGTACCTGCAGTGGAACAAACTGAAACCTCCAGAAAATGACCTGAAAAACAGATTTTGAGATGGATTCCTGGCTGCTCTGCAGTCAAGGAAAATGTACATAAATTAGATGTTTTTTAACAGTTTTTCTATAGACCACACTGGGCTGAAGAATCTCTAAGATTTTGTAAATTTAACCRTCTTCAGAAACATACGYTTTGTGAAAAAAAGACGGAGACATAAAGTCAAGTGTCTCAGAGTCTCTGCAAAATATCTTCAAAGAAAAACAACTGAGATGAGTTGTACAACAGGACTGAGGTGCTTCTATTCTGCTGTGTTCTGATCATAATAACAACGATTACAATTTCATTCGGAGCAAAAAGTGCTGGTACAGTGCTTCTTTAAAGGCTGAGCTGAAATAATGTCTGTAAATCATGTTTACAGACTAAAGAAACCTGGAGGAGCGCAGCKCAGCTCATCTGTTCTCCCTTATGTTCAATAAAACAAGATAATAGACTGAATATAATCAATAGTGAGGCCTCCTACGTGCATATCAAAACAAAAATAAACTATAGAAATATATTTTTGATAAACATTTTACCAAAAMATACCATTCCAAAATAGTGCCATATTAATAATAGTAATATAATAATAGTAATAGTGTGAACAGATTTGTTGATCTGTTTAAAAAAAGACTATTAATCTTTGTATTATAGTCTTTGACCTTCATTTGTTTCAAAGTTGCCTTCAAGCTTTCAGCCTATTYAAAGGGAACAAACAGCCACTGGATAGTTTGGTGTCTGTGTGTGCACAATTCAGAAAGAAGATAAGAGATATCCATGTTAAAGGTAAAGGTTATAAGACCATCTCCAAGCAGCTTCATGTTCAAATGACCCCCCATTTTAAAAAGTATAACATTACACGATTCTGTAGCCACTGTCCCAGGACATGGGCGCAAGAGGAAATGCAACCCCAGGTTGATCAGATAAACAGTACAGAACAAATGACAGGAAAGAACCAAGGAAACCATCCAAAACTGTTCAGGCTGAACTCCAAGGTCAAGTTACATCTCTTTCCAAATCATAATGGACTCAAAAGKTTTGTTGCATATTATATTTTAAAGATGACCTCCATCAGACTCCAGTGTGAACTCTCCACAGCACTGATTCGAGCTGCGTCCACAGAAAATAACGTGACGTGACATTCAGCTGTTTGTTTACAGACGTAAACATGGATGCTACATGTTAGCATGTCGATTCTGAGGTTGTGCAATAGGAGCAGATTAAATTATTATCTGCTCTGCTTGTTAAGTTTATTTTATTACATTTGAACCTGCCTCTGACTGGACACAGCTGTAAAACTGACGTGTCGATTTGGTCCGAGACCGTTGTTACTGTCAGACGTTTCTGTGGATTCTCAGTCATCCAGGACATGGAAAATTAAAGGAACAAAAACGAAGTAACTGGACTTCTGTTCTGTAGCTGAAGACGTGGAGTTACAAGATTTAAACTACACAAGGTTGGTATTAATATTCTGATCTAAATTCTTAGATCGATGCGCTCACCTCCACCTCACAGATGTAAAAGTCGGATGAAATGCGACACAAGTGTTTTCAGTTAGTCACATCCGCTGTGTTGATTTTGATTGTTGTGGTAAAAATACCAACAAATTTATCCCCATAAAATTTGTTTCCCATCACTTTGCTTTTACTGATTATTCATGAACTGTCCAGCCTTCTTTTCTTTTAGTTTGGACCTGTCTGACTGTTTTCAGTAACGGCTTTTCAATTAAACAGGAAGTCTGTTTTGATAACCATGAAAAAAAAACTCATCAATTTATCTCAGAGTCACAAACAGGCAGACCTGGGTTTGTCTTCAGGCAGTTCCTTGGTCACTGCAGTGATGAGTTGGGTCCTTAGGTCCTGGTCCATGGCACCAGTTTGGAAACCATCCAGACAGAACCCTGCCACGGGCCTTTTGGCTGTCTCCCTGGCCGAGCGCACCCTCTCGTCCAGGATGTCTCCTCCCTCCACCACCCCGAACACCACGGTACTGTCTAATTCCTGGCAGGGGACAAACATGTTGCTGATTGAGAACTGAGAGAAAACCCAACGATAGCAAAATGCTACTTTTTAACACTGTAAATGATACACGACAACATCTGCAGTAGTAAAACAGCTTTTTGGGGGAAAACATTGATAAATAAAAAGAGTTTTACTCTGCCAGACTCCATTTGGGTTTTGATTACTCAACAAGCATGAGGAGGGTGGTGGGGGCAGACTCACTGGGTGGTTTGGAGAAAACTTGGCAGCAATCACACAGCTCGCTGAGTAAAAGCTTGATAAGGAATTACCTGCAGAACTCTGTCAGTTCTCTTTACTCTACATGAGTTCTCACTTTAATTTACCAAGGAACATTGAGTTTGCATTCAGGCAGCAGAAAGAAAACCAGAACATAACTGCAGCATGAGATAAAGATGATGAGAAACAAAAAAAAAAACCAAAACAAAACATAAAAGTTGCAGTGAAACACATGTCAAGCTCAAGGTGCGCGCCACAGCCTTTTATGTAAAACAATTTCACTTGGTAAAATTCTTGAAATAAGAAAAAAATGGAGTCAAATTAAGTTTAGTAAATCAGTCTCAAAACAAGATCAAAAAGATTGGGCCTCATGCAAGAACATGTTCGTATTCTTATCCTAAATTTCTCTTACTTTTGTTCGTAC